GCCAAGAAGAGAGACAGCTGGCGGTGTATGAGTTCTCCGCGGAGACTGTCTCCGTGAACAGAGGGCTGTTCTCTACTGTCTCCTCTTCGTCCCCCAAACACAACAAACGTAAGCGGCGGGCTGCATGCGCTGCAGCAGCAGCACTGCGAGGCACTGTACATACACCCCAAGTACGTAGCTCTTGCTCCCCTTGCTGCTGCTGCTGTTGCTGCTGCTGCTGTTGTTGCTGCTGCTGCGCATGCAGCAGCAGCTTCTGCTGTTGCTGCTGCTTCGGGGGGAGGTAAGTGGGGGCTGAGTAGGGGCTGCAGGAGGAGACAGAAGAGACAGAGGAGACAGAAGGAGACAGCAGCTGCGCGAGGGCCCCGGGGTCCAGCGCCAGCAGGTCGCCGCATGTCTCCACCTTCGCCGCTGACAGTCTCCGCGCCGTTGCGCTGCCTGCAAGCCAACGCATGCACCACGCTCATACAAACAGCCCAGCAGCAGCAGCAGCAGCAACAGCAGCAACAGCAGCAGCAGCAGCAGCAGCAGCATCTGGTGCAGCAGCAACAGATGCAGCTATGGCAAAAACAGCCACAACAGCTGCCGATGCAGCAGCAGCAGTTGCAGCAGTCGTTGCTGCGTGAGCATCTGCAGCATTAGGAGCTGCAGCAGCTACACCAGCAGCAGCAGCAGCAGGAGCAGCAGCAGCAGCAGCAGTGTGTGGTGCTTCACCTATTCCGGGAACAGCAGCAACCGCCCTGCACCGAAGAAAGCTGCGTCGATGCTCCCGCAGCAGCAGCGTCTGCTGGCTCGGCTTGTTCTCCCGCGCAGCCATCTTAGCCAGAGACTTGTTGCTGCTTATCCCTGACGTACATACACCCCAATACACACGCATGCATACACCCCAATACACATGCATGCATACACCCCAATACACATGCATGCATACACCCCAATACACACGCATGCATACACCCCAATACACACGCATGCATACACCTCAATGCCTGTGCATGCATACACCTCAATACACACGCATGCATACACACGCATGCATACACCCCAATACACATGCATGCATACACCCCAATACACACGCATGCATACACCTCAATGCCTGTGCATGCATACACCCCAATACACATGCATGCATACACACCGCATGCATACACCCCAATACACACGCATGCATACACACCGCATGCATACACCCCAATACACACGCATGCATACACCCCAATACACATGCATGCATACACCTCAATGCCTGTGCATGCATACACCTCAATACACTCGCATGCATACACACCGCATGCATACACCTCAATACCCATGTATGCATACACCTCAATGCCTGTGCATGCATACGCCTCAATGCCAGTGCATGCATACACAATGCCTGTGCATGCATACACCCCAACACCAACGCATGCATACACGCCAACACCGACGCATGCATACACCCCAGTATAGCTGAGGTGTCTGTACACCCGGAGCGAGGTGGAGCTACTGCCTGACCGCCAGTGGTGGTCAGTCCGCCGAAAGAAGAAAACAAAACGCCGCGCATTGCTGCCGTCAGGTTTGCTGCTACCACCAGCAGCAGACGCTGCACCCCACACGTACACTCGCCGCTGCATGCGCCGTATGCTGCTGCTGCTCCTGCTGCTCCTGCTGCTCCTGCTGCTGCTGCTGCTGCTGCTGCTGTTTTGGGGGCTGCTGCATGTGCTGCTGCTGCTGTTGCTGCAGCCAACTGCTGCTGCTCAGAGACAGCATCCTGCAGCCCCTGTCCCTGCTGGTTGTTTTGTGTCTCTCCTTTCATTGCCAGCTTCTCCTGCAGCAGACGTTGCTGCTGTTGCTGCTGCTCCTCTTGCTGCTGCTGCTGCTGCTGCTGCTGCTGCTGTGGGGCCCCGACGGAGACAGCTGCGGCGGCCTTGGGTAGCTCCTGCAGAAGGTTTCGCTCTCTAAGGGAGACGATCAGAGCCTCTATAGGGATCGGCTGCTGCAGCAACCTGTCGCGGCTGCTGCTGCTG